CCCCAGTATAAAAATCACTGAACTAGCCGAGAAGAAAGCAGAAGGTTGATGACTGCTCAATGACAAATAAAGCATAGTCCAAACACTCATGCCCACGCAGTGTGAAACGGCACAGAGGGCAACAACCCTTTGAGAAGAATCATAGTAAAGCTACATGTGAACAGAGCTGTAAATGGTACTGATTCATATGGGGAGGGTGGAGGGCAGGCCAGTATCGGTTAGAAAATACAACAGAAAGTGTTTCTGATTTTGACATATTTTCATTTGGTTTTTGTCATGCTTAATAAAACAGGATAGATCATTCTTATTATCAGGATGATACAAACATGGTTCTTTGTGCAGCCATGTAATTTTATTTTTTTATTTAAGTCTAAATGGAAAAAATTGCGATTTTGTTTCATGAAGAAACTTCTTCATCTGTTTTCTTCTTCTTCTTCTTCCAGCTGCTTCATTTAAGGGTCACTGCAGTGGATTGTCTGCCTCCATCTCTCGCTTCTCCGTAATCTTCTTTCTTTTTCCTCGTCAGCTCCATATTCAACATCCTTTGTCCAAAATATCCACTATCCCTCCTCTGCGCATGTCCAAACAATCTCTCTAAAATTGTCTCCAAACTGCTGAAACTGAGCTGTCACTCTGATATATTCATTTCTAACCTTGTCCACATCAGTCTTAATAAGTGACCATCTCAGCTCTACGGCTCAGCCTCACATCTTTTTGTCAGAGCCAAGTCTCCAGTCTCCAAACCTTACATCATAGCAGGCCTCACAACCGTCTTGTAAACTTTGTTCGTCTGAAAAAATCTGACTTGTCAATAAGGGCTGTATTGATGGAGTGAAATGACTTTAAGTTCCACAACACTTTGTAGCTTGCTTCTGACAGGAGTTAAAAAAGCTGAGGTCATATGATCACACTTCACTGCCTATTTAAAAAAAACGCTTCTTTTCTTTCTTTCTTTTTGCATAAAGATAAAAAAGTGAAGCACAGTCAAATTCCTTGTTAGTTTGCACAAACTTATGATCCTGATGTCATTACAGTCTGTTGGTGTTACAACTATGTGTCTTCTAGCATCAACTCTTAATACTTCATATGTATGTAACATGAGGTTTTTCCAAAGATATAAAGAACAAAATAAGCACAGTAGACCATAATTTATAGAAACACTTTGACGAACCCTTGTATATTGAATACTGACCTCTGGTGGTCCCCAGAAAAGTAATATTAATATAACACATTTATGTAATCAATAAAAATAAATAAATACACAAATAAATTTTTACCAAATATATTTAAAAGGCACTGAAACACACTCCAGAATCTTTTAATTTTTTAATATCCTCCTGAGAACCAGCCTATTCATTTATTCTCTGTCTTCTGTAATGGACATTTGTTTTGGTCTATATCTTTTGACTTATTTGAGCTGATGTACTAAATAGAGGACATCCCAGGCTTTCCATTGATAATTCATGTGTTTGGGCGGCCTCTTTCAACTCCAACAAGGAAGGAAATTACAAAGAAAGTTCAATGGGAAGATTCTTTTTTCCTCGGTTCTCAGGAGGATATCTAAACAAGAATTTCAGAAATTTCAGGGAAAAATAGAAGATCTACTCTTTCAGTTTATCCAGAAAAATGAAAATATAACATTTGCATATGTATGGTTTTCATTGGCTGTGAGCTGAAAAGTGAACGGGTAAAGCTGTGGAGTAAAAAGAGAAATATTTAGTTATGAGAGTAGTGAATGCACACACTGCATTGGTGCACGGTTGTGGGAATAAAGAAAAAAAATACAAGTATACAAAATTTGTATAGATGAGGTACAGTTTAAGTAAAAATACCACTAAATTCGGAGGAAAAATCAGCTACATGTAAAATATCAGTGTCTGAATAACATCTTAAAGAATACAGCTAATATAAATATATATTTCTACTGTTATTGGGAAAAACACTGATGATATTTGCAGATACTTAAACAACTTGAATCTCCCTCATGTAGAAACAGATTTATCTGCTAATACAGTTGTTTTTTAATCTGATACTGAGGGTTTTCTAAGGAAACTACCTTTCACCTTTATCTGAGTCCAACAAGTCAAGATGATTGGCTCTCCCCAGATCAGGTCAGCATAAAATGAGCTCCATAAATAATGATAAGGAGCCCATCATAAAAAGGGGACAATGTACGCTATCTGGATGCAAAATCTGTTTTCTAAAATGGTTTAGATAGGCATTATTTGAAGACTGCACCCTGAATGCTACAGCTCTTTCTCTTTTCTTTTTATGCCATAAAAATCTAAGACTATTAAACTCACAATTGTCTGTGCTGTAGCTATTTAGTACATGTCGATGTGATGATATTATTAATCTTCAAAAACTTAAACATATAAGCCTTAATATATAATATACTGTTACTGTCAGTGTGTTAACTTCAGTAGGTACATTCTTTTTATTTCCCATAACCCTTTTAGAGAAATTTGTACGTTTTTTGTGTAACATTTAGTATTTTGCCATGATTAGAAATAATTACATAATTGCACATGAGTCTGTTACAGTATTTAAATGATCTACTATATATAACAGACCCATGCATAAAATTGATTCAGCTGTTTATTGCATACTGGTGTCCCACACTGAAAGATGTGGTTGGTGTTCTTAAGTTAAAAAAAATCATACTCATCAAAATGTATCACATTAGGTCTCATGACAGATAGTTTTTAATGCCTAATTCACTTTGATGCGATCAGTTACAACATTATCAAAAAAAGAGTAAAACAGTTAATTGAAACATCTCTTCTGCTGTTTTGAAACAACAACATAAAGGCAAACATATAATGCGATACTTATATGTATGAAGTACATATATTTTATACTTCTGTTTTCTTTAATATAAGTTACGGTTGTTTTTGGATTGACAGAGAAATGTTGATTTAGTGCAGAGAGTCCTCAGTCTTTTCTAGCATGAACCAACAAGGTTCACACCTGTCCCGTCAGTTTCCCCTGCTTATCTTCCCCCACCTGCAGTGGCTGGATTGCCCACCAGTGGGGGTCATCCCACTAATTTATTGGTCTTTTTATGCAATGCTGTCACCTTCTACGTGACAATCGGGTGTCCTGGTGTTTTATTATGTTTTAAATGCAAGTTCCTGACAACATCACATTTATGTTCATGTCTTTTGTGCATGAAAAGTATCGAATCCCAATTGAAAAAAAAACAAAAAACGTGCACAACGACCAGTCCTGCAAAGGAACTGCTTTCAAATCCTGATTTATTGATCATAATTTTTAATTTAATAATTTTAATAATTTTAACTTTAAAATGTTCTTCATTTTTATTTCCAAAATTAGTAAATGTTTTCAATTTGTCAAGGTCTGCACAGTTGTTTCTCATATAAACAAGGGAATGCACAGCACACAAATTGGTGCATGACAATGATCATCAAAAACACAAGGTAATGAAGGAAACAGGTTTAAATAAACACACAAAAACAAAATAAAAAATAGAAATAATTTGAAACAAAAACAAAAACCCACAAAATCAAAACTTTGATTGGCACCAAACATAAATGATATGAAGTAAAGTGCTGTTTCCAGCCCGACTCATGTTTAGTTGAACCAATTGAAGCGGTGATAGTGGAGTTCCAGTCCGAACAGTGTTTATCTCTAAGAAGTTAGTTTTTCAGTAAGTTCTGCAGGTCTGCACATTCTAGAAAATGTGATAGAACCTTAAAACATGTACATAGATTCTGTCATTAATTACAAAAGTCTAAATTGCAGCAGCATAGAAATCTATTCTATGAAGATGTTTTTCCTTTTGAGAACAGAGAGGCTTATTAATTTTTGGCTAATCTTTGCAAAATCATTTTATGGTTGGGCAGAGTCCTTTAAGAAATAGCGCTCATAAAGAATAAATGCCAGGGTACACCGCATCTACCAACGTCACAAAAACATGATATAACAGAATGAGAATAAAATAATTAAGTGATAAACAGAAACGTTTGGACGGTGTAGCATCAGAAATAGATTTGTTCTGCTGAATGAAACCTGCTCCCGTTATGACTCTGGAATTGCACAGGGACTGCTGCAATTGCTCTGAAAATCGGCGCAAAGTAGATAGATAGAGATGCTGATAAATCCTAAACTTTATGAATAGTTACAAAATTCTGTTATGCTGCCACTTATCACGTAAGAACAATAAACATCCTCATATCTTGTCCATTTCTTCCCATCTTCTGCACCATGTCTGTTTATCACAAATTTAAATGCTCACGCACCTTCACCCTGAAAGCTCAGACGATAGCATCTGGACCATCGGATGTCTTCTTTATCTTAGCTGTGACCTTGACATGTGATAAGAGCATTAATTACAAAGTTGATCATGTCGTCTTGGCATGCTTACAGACCATCACTGGACTTGAAAGTAATATATTTGTATTTATTTAGTTTTTTTCTAGTCCTACTGACCATTCAAAGCACTAAATGACTTTTTGATTTAAAGAAAAATGATCCATCATATCATATCAGGAACATAGACAGGTATTGTTCTCTCACTGTACCCTATAGATCAGATAGTCACTTTGATGATGGTCTAAAGGTTCAGTAGTAGTGTGCTGTACTTTGGATGTTTCCTACATGCACTGCTCTGAAAACAAGCAACAACAGCCTACACATGCTTCTTGCTGTAAGGGGATTGACACGATTCAAATCACTCAGAATGTTTATCTATCGTCAATAAAACTACAAATTTCCAGGTGGTATCAGTTCAAGTATCAATGTAAGATGAAGCACAAGTGAAGAACTAGGTGTGGCTTAGACGTCTGGGTGGGATTTTGTTTCTCCCAGCTCTGCTGAATCACCCCAGCAACCCTATCAAAATCTATTTTCTGTGTTAATTATCAAACGGAGCAACTGGTAGCTTTCGCCCGTGATTGGCCAGCAGCAACATCACACCAGAACACGTTTCTCCTTACGCAGCCCTAACACTGTAAGATAGACAGACAGACAAACAGACAGACAGACAACAGGAGAGATAGGACAAGCCAGACAACCCACATCACCTCCCACCTTCTTTACTAATGCATCTTCTAATAGGTCAACTGTGAAACACTCCTTACACTCCTATTTTACTGAAATTTAAGAATCTGACTCTTCTGTTGTTTAATCGTGCTCAGGAATCATGATGCGTTTTGCAGCCCTCGTCATTTTTATAAATATTGTGGTAAGTTTTTTCTTCTTTTTTTATTGGGGAATTTATTGCAGTTGTGCACTGGTTTCAATAATATATTTAAGATGTAATACTGTACATTTTTTCAGTTAACAGCATGATTGGGGGGGTTGAAATGTATTAATCATTTGATCTGTGATCAGCACTTAAAACTAGAAAGATTAACGTTTAATTAAAATCCTAAATGAATATAACTGTTTAAACAAGCAATCAACATGTATTTTTATAGTACATTCGCAGATAAGAAGCCCAAATTAAAAGCGATACAATAAATAAATAAAAGTAAGTAGTGATTTTTATGTCCAGAGTTGAGGTTAGAGAAGGTGTGCAAACAGCTTCTCGGGTAAAATCACTGTTGTGGTTTTAGATTAAACTGTGTTGAACATATGCACATAATGCATACATAAATATGTGCATGTAATATTTTTCTATATGGGGGATTTTTTAAGCTGTTTCAAACATTTTACATCACTGACCATTCAAATGTAGTCGTCACAATTATATTTATCTCACATACTCTCATGCAAAGTATGATATAACATTTATTATTATTATTATTATTATTATTATTATTATTATTATTACCTTATTACCTTTAAAACTTTCAAAGGTAATGCCCTTCACACATTTGTGACTTTCCCCCAAATTTCTATTCTCGTGTTAAAGGTGATTAAATTTATATCATGACATTTTATTTGCCTTTGCTTTAAACTGTAAAAAATTAGAGATGACATTTTTAAGCCCTGTAGGTTTGGCAACAGTCACCTTTAATCACATTGCATGTTACAAGAATACATTGTGTTTGACTATAAAAAATAAAAGTCAATTTATATTCCAACAGAAATCAAACACTATTTTTAAAAAATGTTTGTACTTAGTATTTACTTTTTTTTTTATCTTGTATTGTAGGCACGCATGTAGTTTGTGGTTATAATTAACCTTGAACGTGTGCAGTTTATTAGTACAATCTCCATTTTATTGTTGCAAATTGGCAATAAAGAAGCTGAGCTGGAAGGACACTGTGTAGCGATTGTGTCATTGTGACACGGCTGTGAGATGTTACGAGTTATTCTTAGAAAATGTTATAGGCATTATAATAAACACAATCAAACTTTTACAAGTTTTTGGAAAACATATCATTGAGCTTATCACTTCATATTAACTGGAATGTTTGTGAGTAGGAAAATAATTTTTATAATCGAACATCTGTGCTGAGAAGTTTTGGATTTCTAAGCAGACTCTATATTAAAAGCGCTGTTGCTGCTTTTATTGTACTTACTCTTGAAAACTCGTCTCTTCCACGCAGAGTCTATCAGAGGCCCAGCATGAGCCGGGATATTGTGTTTTTTATGATGAGTGTGGTCGTAACCCGCTGCTAAATAACACCCTCATTGATCCCATCGTCCCATGTCTGAATTACACCCGTGCCAAACTCGTCACTGGAAACCACTACAAGATACTCAAACAGGTGTGTGTATATCCTTCTTCTTGGTGGAGGGAACTGCTGTAAGAGAAGAAGTTTGAATGAAGTGTGGCAGAGGTAGATTTCTGTCTATTCTTAATAAGTGCATGTTAGAATCCTTTTATAATTGCATTTGTTCCTGCTGTAGGTGTGCCCTATGTTTGATCAGGGAGAGAGCAGCACATATGCTTGTTGTACGATCAAACAGCTGGGATCACTGGAAAAGAGCCTGACCCTGTCCAAGGCTGTTCTTGTCCGCTGCCCTTCCTGTGCTTACAACTTTGCTCACCTGCACTGCATCAACACCTGCAGTCCTAACCAGAGCCAAACAGTTAAGGTCACAAGGGTGATGAATGTCACTGAGCAGAATAAGACGAGGGAGGCCGTGTTGGGTTACCAGGCATTCATCGGCAAGACTTTTGCAGATACCTCCTTCCAGTCATGTAAAAATGTCAGGATTCCTGCCACGATTGGAGGCTATGCCATTGCCACCATGTGTGGTCGCTATGGAGCAAAGCTGTGCACTCCCCAGCGCTGGTACGATTTCCAAGGGGACTCGAGTAACGGTTTGGCTCCTCTGGACATCGACTTTAAAATAATACAAGAAGGAGACACCACAGGGTTGCCAGAAGGTGTGATTCCCTACAACGGGGTCGCTCTGATGTGTAATGAGACCACACCTACAGGAGGGGACGTTTGCTCCTGCCAGGACTGCCAAGAATCGTGTCCAAGTGTGCTACCTCCTCCACCGGTCGCTGGCCCCTTTACACTGCTGGGCACCAATGGTTACCTTGTAATTTCTATCATCTTGCTCATTCTCCTGATACTTTCCTTTGTCCTATACCTCTCTGTCTCCTGGTGGGTGGCATCTCAAAACAATAAAAAGAAAGGAATACACAGAGGTAAAGGCAAAGACAAGGACAGTGATAAAGTGACTGAGAAGATCATCCATCCCTCAGAGGTGACATGTGCTGAGACAAACAGCTTGGCTGCTCAGGCTTACCTGAGCTCACAGTTCCGGATTTGGGGAACCATCATGGCCTCTTATCCCCTCACTGTAAGTACTTTGATCCAGTAAAAGTAGGACGTATGTACCCACTAGGCCTTCTTTTAGCTTTAGTGGAAGAATTAAAGTCAAATCATAAGATGCTGTTCATACCAAACCCAGTTATGCTATAGCAACAAAACCTCTGAGTGGACTAAAATGAGGAAGATTGCATTTGTATTGTTCAAAGTGGCATTTGGAACATAAAGAATACTGATAATTCCCTATTATCTATCTTTTATTTACTAATTCAGTATAGATATGTTCCCATTTCAAAGCCACTTGAAGTAGAATTTGCACATTTCTGACTTCTTGCGTTAACCTTACCTTACACAGTGGATTTAAGAGAAAGCATATTGTTAGCCAGACGAAGACACCACGCCTGAAGAATATTTGATCTTTTTTCAAGGTCCTCCTCCTGTCTCTTATTGTCGTGGCTGTTTTATCTGTTGGCCTCAAAGACATCAAACTCACCACCGATCCAGTTGAACTTTGGTCTGCCCCTAGCAGCCGGGCTCGCCAAGAGAAAGAATTCCACGACACGTACTTTGATCCCTTCTACAGGACAAATCAAGTGATCTTGACAGCACCAGGCAGAAAAAGCCACATTTATGACTCGTTGCTGTTTGGACCGCAAAACTTTAGTGGGATAATGTCCAAAGAGCTCATTATTGAGCTGCTGGAACTCCAGACACGAATACAGGTACTCAAAGTCAAAGCTGACTGCTGACAGTGTTTGAAAAGGTGCACCATTCCATGTTGACTAACTGAAACCCCCCCTCATTCTGTTTTTAGAATATTCAGTTTTGGTCAGATGATCTGAACCGGACAGCAAGTTTGAAGGATGTGTGCTTTGCGCCGCTAAATCCCAACAACCCTTCCTTGACTGACTGTGCAGTCAACAGCTTGCCACAGTACTTCCAGAACAGCCTAGACCACATTAACGCTAAAGTGAACATGACTGAGCTGGGAGTGACCAAAGAGGTGGACTGGAGAGACCACCTCATCTACTGCCTTGGGTAAGCATTCATTAAAAAAACTGCAACCAACACCGCTCATTTTTATAAACTTCACCTTCCGGCACATAAAACCATCCTTTCTCCCCCCTTTTTCCACTTCTCCTCAAGCTCTCCTTTGTCCTTCAAAGACATCACAGATTTAGGTATGAGCTGCATGGCTGACTATGGAGCTCCAGTCTTCCCATTCCTGGCTGTGGGAGGATATGAGGGTAAGAGACTTTTAGCACCACTGTTTTATCCCTGAAATTATTGTAAAACACACAAAAAGGTGCTTCTAACTCACTTGAACAATTTACACTTGACTTTTCCCAGATGATGCATTCAGCAGTGCTGAGGCCTTCATCATGACCTTCTCCCTGAACAACTATGCTCGCAGTGACCCTAAATTCAAAGTGGCTATGCAATGGGAGAAAAATTTTCTTAAAATTGTCCAAGAATACCAGAAAGACCCGAAAAACAGCTTCACTTTTGCATACATGGCAGAGGTAAAAACTCTATGAGTACGCATTATTCGTATATTTACAAAATTTAAGTTCAAATGAGATTTTGGGATTTTGGGGCAGTTACCTGTGATTTACGTGAGTCACTGTGGCTCAAGAAGTAGAATTGGCAGGTTTGAGGGTTTGTGGCCAAAGTGTTTGGGGGCAAGATAATTAACCCTGAGTTCCTCCCAATGCTTTGTGCAGAGTAAGAATCTCACATGTGAAATAGAAATGAATCACTTAGAAAAAAGTGATTTGGTGAATGAGTTGTAAGATGCTTTGAGTGATGAAGCAGAGTAGAAAAGATCCATTAAGGCCTTGGCCATGTGTCACTTGTCTGTGGTGGTCCAGGGACCTTTGTACGTGTCATTACACCATCTTTGCACTCGTTTCCTGCCTGCTCACAGTCGTGTCCTATCTAATAAAGATCAAAATGCTCAAGAAAGCAAAATGAAGCAATTACCAGGCATACTGATAAAGACTTGCTGTTGCTGTTTTTCTAAGAAACGTTAAGTTGGCCTATCTGTGACCTTTAACACATCTAATCACTCACTTCTCTGCTCTGTTAATAGAGATCTCTGGAGGACGAGATCAATCGAACAACTGCAGAAGATATCCCCATCTTCATGATCAGCTATGCTGTAATATTCGTTTACATCGCTGTGGCACTTGGAGAGCACTCTTCATGGAAACGCTTACTGGTACGTCTCCGCAGAATAGGTAGCATCCCGGGTATTGCAACTTGCAAATCAGCAGTTAATCCCTGTTTAGTGCCATTAGTCTTTGAACGGGTGTTCATAAACCCTGCCACACTCTGCCTTTTCACTTGTGTGGTTTTAGGTGAAATGTCTTAACACCTACCTTCATGGTCTGCCCAGGATGGAGCCCAAACATTTTGATGTAGCACAGTTATAATGTCAGTATTTTCATTTTTCCAAATCTAGCATCTGCAAAAGAAATTACTTTCCAATTAGCCTCAGCTGTATGTTTTGTTTCGCGCTGATTAGCATGCTAAAAATGTTCAGTAACATCGTTGATGCTAACTAGTAACTGCAAAGCATAAGAATACACACTTAAGGGTTAGGTTTGCTTACACTTTAACACTTAAGTTTGGATTTAACATAAGTGTTAATGTGCATTCATTTGGTATCAGAATAATGTCATTTTTTGCTAACATTTAAGTGTGGTGCTGGATGCAACTGTTAGCTGCTGTCCAGTTGACCTAGATTAGATAATAGTGTGCAGTAACCTTGATAACATGGCAAATAAAGCCATATTTGACAAGAAACAACATGCTTTTTAAACCCTCTGACCAAGAGCTGAAAGCATTATGATCGGAGCTTCTTTTTTTTTTTTTAAAGTTGCTGAAACATGAATTTAGTTGTTGCTGTAAAAGTGTGAGCATAAAATATGCCCCTGGGTTATACTGGCTTCTGTACAGAGAGAAAAAATGATAGAATAGTATATATCACCTACTGTACGTGATAAGGAGAAGCTGATACAGTATGCCTATGTCAAGATTATTGTTCTTACTACAGAGTAATAAAGAAATCTCAATGGGTTCACTGAGACATTTGTACATTTGCATCTCTTTGTCCTGTAGGTGGACTCTAAGTTTCTGGTTGGTTTGGGTGGGATCCTGGTGGTCGGCTGCTCTGTCCTGGCCTCAATGGGTTTTTATTCCTGGATTGGCATACCCTCCTCACTGGTCATCCTTCAGGTCGTTCCCTTCCTGGTGCTCGCCGTGGGAGCTGACAACATCTTCATCTTTGTTCTGGAGTACCAGGTATTGTATATCTATGTGTGCCATAAATGTACAATGGGGCCATTTTTTGGTGTAATTTTTATTAAGTTACTCTTCCTGTCTTCCAGAGAGATGCGCGGAGGCCTCACGAGACGCGAGAGGAGCAGATCGGGCGTGTCCTTGGAAACGTGGCTCCCAGCATGCTCCTGTGCAGTCTTTCTGAGTCTGTCTGCTTCTTCCTAGGTATATAATCTGATATCCTTAGTTGAATCCTTAGTTTTAAAAATGCAATACATTTTTTTTACACCAAGCTGGACTTGGTGTTTTGTCTGGTGCGTTACCCCCTATCCGTGTTTGTTTCAGGGGCCCTGTCCACTATGCCAGCAGTGAAGTCCTTTGCTCTATATGCTGCTCTGGCTGTGCTCATGGACTTTGCCCTCCAGATGACAGCTTTTGTTGCGCTGTTGTCCCTGGATGCCCGGCGCCAAGACAACAACCGCTGTGAACTTCTCTGTTGCATTAAAGTGTCAAAACAGCGTCCAAAGAAGCCAAATAAGGGTTTTCTGATGCCATTCATGAAGAAATACTATGCCCCTGTTCTACTGCACCGCTACACCAGGATCACAGTGGTAATGCCTCACCAACAACATCAAACATATTCAGTCCACAGTTATTCTAAACCGCTGACTTGAGCTGTCTCACTGATGTGAAATCCTGCGAGATTAAATTTAATGAGATGAACACAACCTCACATTGAGATTTGTGTGTTTTTAAACAGATATTTGATAAATTCACTCTATTCTATGTTCTCCTCAGATAGTAGTTTTCATCTTTATGTTCTGTGGAGCCTTATTCCTCATGATGAATGTGAAAGTGGGTTTGGATCAGGAGCTGGCTATGCCTCAGGTCAGTAAGCACAGTTATGTATAAATGGCAATGACACTCTTTTCTTCCTGTTAAACCTGTTTACAAAGATATTTCTGTTTTCGATCCAGGACTCGTACATGCTGACCTATTTCCAGTACCTGTACAAGTACTTTGAAGTTGGCGTTCCTGTTTATTTTGTAACAAAAAAGGGGTTCAACTTCACCTCTGTGGAGGGCATGAATGCAGTCTGCTCCAGCGTGGGTTGTAATCAGTTCTCGCTGACTCAGAAGATCCAGTACGCCACAAACTACCCTGAACAGTGAGTCAGTGGATTTATTGTTTATAATCTGAGCACGGGAAACTTTAAGCTTTAAAAGCAAACTCTGTACCATTGTTGCTCACTTAAACTCTGTATCTACCAGTTGCTTGCAACAGTTCTGATACTTTGCATGTGTCCTTCACATCACAACATATCCTTGACCTTGCTGATATCGTAGTAGCAACCTGTTACACACTTTCCAGTCAGATCAGTTAATGATAAACTCAGCAACATAATTGCCACAGAGCAGATGAAGGGTGTCTCTGAGTGATAGTACCAGTTACTGAAAGCAATCACTGAGATATCCCCTATAATTATTCTCGAAATATGCAATCAGAAACTGTGTTCTGACAGATGTGAAACTTCTGATGCACAAAATAATCTTCCCAGCTTCCCTGTCATTCACCTAAACACTTTACATTTTGATATATTCGATCAGACTGAGACCGTCGTAGGTAACAAAACACAATTGTTTCCTCAAGATAAGCAGAATTATGGAGCCGTATTTATCAGCAGCCTTATCAGCTGGCAAACAGCATCTCATAAAACAGGAACAATAAATCTATCATTAAGAACTCCAATAAATTTATCTGAAAGATTTGTATCAGAACGCCTTTAATAATCTTTGGGTTATAAAATAGTTAAATTGAGATGCTAATTGTGCAGGTGCCCCAAGCATAAAAACAAGCCATTCCCACAATAAAACAACAAAGTCATTCCCACAGTGAAGTCAGTCCTTTCAGTAGAAGACAATGAATGATTATGAATAAAAAAGGAGCAAAGAATTAAATAAAAAGTGTCATGGTGCATTACAGCAACCCTGCTTGAGTTAGGGCTTGAGCTGTTTGCCTCTGTTTTGGTGGAGCTGTAGCGTCTACCAGTGGGGAACTGGTCAAATAGCAAGTATCCAGGGTGACAGCTGTTTTTAGGGGTTTTTAAGACATTTGAGAGGTATCTTGCTTTTTCAGTCTCTTCCAGGGAGGGAAGAGCGGAGCCAGTGAGCTTTCATGCTGTCTTTATTACCCTGGGGGTAGCTTCTTTTATCTGCTGCAGAGCATCCGGCAGACCACGCTGTAACACAGTACGCTGGCGTGCTTTCAGTGAGCGAAAGAAGGCAAACCAGCAGTTTCTCATCTACACAGTACTTCTTCAGCAACCTCGGGAAGTGAAAGTGCTGCTGAGCCTTCTTAAACACAGCTGTAGTTATTTAGAAATATTCAGTACATAATCCCAGATCCAGATAGATGGTTTGAAATTATGAGACTGATATTAATACATTCCATGTCCCTATTGCCAGTCTTGGCAGCCGGGGGTCAGTCCGCCAGGGCCTCCG